GGTAAAATTAGCACCAAGGACGTTATGAATCAGTTGCTAATCCTGGGAGTCATGTCTGTGGCCTGCGGTTTTTGAGGATAAAAAGGATTGCAAAAAGGGGGTCGGGGCCACTTGGCCCAGCTGTCTTACCTGACTGCTTGCTTGTGCTGGTCCTCATTGCAATGTGAATCTAAGTACCTTGTATGCTACTGGTTGAATTTTACTTGCTTATTGAACTAACATTTAATAAAACTTTTAGAACTTTGAAGTGACTTATGTTCTGGTGTGTCTGTCTCCCGTGTTTAATGAGGTTTTTCCCCTGACAGTTTTAAGAATGATTTGGTATGCCAGAGAGTTGGAAAGAGGCCAACGTAGTATTAAAACCTAAAGCGGGACAAGATTTGATTTCAGCAAGGAACTATAGGCCAATATCATTATTGAATAATGGCCACAAGTTGTTCACAATGATTCTAGCTGATAGACTGAAAATAATTTTGCAAGAATTTATTCATGGGGATCAATGGGGGGGGGGGTTTTTCCCTAAAAGACAGTTAAAGGACAATCTTAGAAATGTGTTGGACATTTTGGAATATTTGGAGCAACATAATGAAAAACAAGCCGCATTGATCTTTTTAGATGCAGAGAAGGCCTTTGACAATTTGAACTGGGCTTTCTTATTCAGGGTTTTAAAAGATATGAAATTTGGAAAGAACTTTATAAAATGGATTAGATCGATTTACACTTCATAGAAACCACAAATAATTGTTAATGGAGATTTAACAAAATCCTGTGAGATACAAAAAGGAACAAGACAGGATGCCCACTGCCTCCTCTCTTGTTTGTTTTGGTTCTTACTGAATAGAGATATTAGACAAGATGAGAGGATTGTGGGAGTACAGTTTAAAAAAGAAACTTATAAGTTAAGAGGTCTTGCAGATGACTTGGTGTTGGTTTTGGAAAATCCTTTAAAGGGAATTGAAAGAATCTGGTGCATTAGTAGGTTTTAAGATCAAGAAATATCAGGTGTTTCAAGATGCAAAGAGGAGGACAGAGGAGGAAAGAGGAGGATTGGGTTTATCTGATTTGAAATTGTATTTTGCAACTTGCTGTTTGACATGGATGAAAGAGTGGGTGCTGCTGAGAAACAGAAGGCTTTGGGGGTTAGAAGGACACAGCCTGATATTTGTGGTATGACAAAATCAAGGTTAATGTGGATTTTAAAAATCATTATGTTAGATGTGCCATACGGAATAGACACAAACCCAGGTTGTGCCCGAAAGCACCTTTGTGGCTCTCAGCACAAGAAGCATTTTATAGATGAGAAATGACAGGTAAACACAAATGGGTAACCTATTGCGAGATACGAGAATTTGTCAAGGGGAATATAAAATAAAATCAAGAGATCTGGTGGCATATAGTTGTCAATGGTTTTCTTATTTACAGTTG